CCCCCCCCCCCCAGAGCACTGCAGAAAGCCTGCTCTTGGTCTAGTTCCACAGTAGTGAGGTCAGGATGTATTTTGCTAAACTGATAACCAGGAGAGGTCAATACATTTAATATGACTTGAGAAGATACTTTACACACATTCTTCCTTTTAATGCTAAACCACCCTTTAATGCTAAAATATGTCGACCTAAATGCCATAGTTAAACTCTGTCATGTTCATCTAATGAGAATAGAAGGAACATAGGTAGAACAGTGGTGGGATCTTACCATTAGGACATGATCATCTCAGCTTTCCTTCCATAATGTCTTTCTCTATGATGAATGGTCATTGGGTCCAGAATGATCTCAATATATGTACAAGTCCTGTCATTATCAAGTTTATGGAATCCATCTAAGATATGAAAACAAATGTAGGCCTAGAATCAGGGACATCAGAGAGTCAACAAGCATAGCATACACAGATTAACTCTCATCCTATGCTAGAAAGGGTTTGAATGCTCTGACAGAAACAAGATTCTAAAAAGGTACTTCTAGATGCAGAGAGGTAATGGATTAGATCTCAGTAGTTTACACAAGACCCTTCCTACCTTATTTCTCCTCTTCTTTTAGCGACAGTAATTAACATTTATTGAGTGCCTGCTATGCCAGAATTAATTGGGGCGCCAGGGATAAAATGTGAGAAAATCATGGTCACAATCTAATTGGGACCTCAGGCTCTTGTGTTAGGTAGAAAATATTATATGAATGAGAGTAACATGGGAAAACTTTCCACATAATTTAAATTGCTGGAATTTTAGTAACCACTGTCTGAATGCTTTACATTTGAAATATGTTTAATTATGTTTGTTCATTTAAAAGATTTACATTAGATATCACCTAACATGTTGACACAAATTTATGGCACATACATACAACATGATGTGTGACTTGTCCATGTAATTTCTAATTAGATTATAAATTGTTGTTCTTAAAATTTATTATCTTACCATCATTCAAGAAACAACAGAGCTTGGCCGGACATGGCTCAGCAGTTGAGCATCAACCTAGGAACCAGGAGATCGGGGTTCGATTCCTGGTCAGGGCACATGCCTGGGTTGCAGGCTTGGTCCCCAGCAGGGGGCGTGCAGGAGGCAGCCAATCAGTGACTATCATCATTGGTGTTTCTTTCTCCCTCTCTTTTCCTCTCTCTGAAATTAATAAAGACATAT